AAATTACTGAAATTGAATATATAAGCTTGATAAAAATGATCATTTTAGAAGAAAAATTCAAATTGCACTTCATATATATATATATAAATATGTGTGTGTGTGTGTGTTAAGAATCAGTCATCCGTGAATTATATTTATTTATTTTGACACAAACAAATTTGTAAATTATTTAATTCAATTAAAAAGCATTTTAAGTGTTTTTTGACTTTATTGATTAAATCCATATTGATACTTTCTTTTATCTAAATCTTAATTTTCACTCAAATCAAACTATATCACTGCTTAGTCCACAACGGCCTGTATTCCATGCCCATGTTTAATAGTTATATCTGACCGTTGCAGGCTTTCTGTTCAGTAAACTGAGTGTCTGTGTGTTTTGAGGGTCTAGAAAGTTCAGTGCTTATCTAGCCTTGAACCGCAGTCTTTAATGGACCGCTGAACTCTTTGGATTGTGGACCCTGCCTGTGTATTTAAGATAACTGTACCAGCTCAAAGTGACTCATGAAAACAGATTTCAAAAGATCTCCAAAAATCCAGTCACGAAACAGGAGATTTCTATCAAATAAATGATTATTGTGTCTTCATGTGTGCAGGCAACGTTTAAAAAGTATATGTCCTGATAAAAGGAGACTATAATGTAAATGAAACAATACTGCACAATGGAAACTGAATCTCAGCATCTGTGGGTGGGTGGGTGCTAATATTTTTTGACAACAGTTATAAAATTCAGGACACACAGGATTTCAGTACAGTAAAAATCATTTAATTCAATAAAATAGTATATAGCAGTAGACCAGTTGTACCTTTATCATATTTATAAGACTACTTCACTGCGTTTCCAATACTGTTACAATGAGTTGCATCATACCTCTGCAGTAAAACTCTTCCCATGACAACCACTGCCCCAGATATGGCGAAATAAATTTAAATAACATAATATTAAACAGTAGATATTTCACTTTAGAACCCGTACAAAAATACTTTACAGACGAAATACATGACAGGGTTTCCAGATTACCAGAGTTATACCGAGCACACGGTGGGATATTGCGCAATCCAGGCGCACAGTCCACTTTCATGTTTTTTTCCTCGGTTGTAAACGCATTGAACGAGCGCTCGCCATCAAGCGCAGAAAACTTTTGTTGTAAATTCTGCTCTCTTTAAAGTCACTGACAGTCATTAAGCACCGCTGGAGTCCCGTCAGCACTGGCCGGTGGCGGAGAGCAGGTTCCGCAGCGTCGCCAGCTCGCGCGACAGCTGCTCCACGCGCTTCTGTAACCGGTCGTTCTCGGCCGCGAGCTCGAGCACTTTGTGCTGCGTCTCCATGTTGCGCATTTTGGCTTTGTCTCTGCTTTTGCGGACGGCGAGATTGTTCCTCTCGCGCCTCTGCCTGTACTCGTCGCTGTCCTTTTCCAGCCTCTTCTTCCCTTTGCCGCCAGAGGCCATTTTGCCGCCCGACTGAGGTGATCTTCCCTTACCTGGCGGCGCAGGTGTACCTGGCGGGCTCGAGCAGGAGGAGGACGCGGTGGAAATGTTTCCCAGGCTGCCGCTCGGAGCGTACTGTAGATACGAGCGCATGTCAAAGCCCCCGGAGCCCTCCATTGGCGGCTCTTCGTGTCGCCAGTTACTTTTGGCAAAGCTGCCCAGAAAGTCTGGGCTGAACACGGCGTCTATGCGCGTCTCCTGAATCTCCGGATACGCCAGCTGGTTATTCGGGTCCCGCTCGGTCAGCGAGATATAGTTCTTGTAGTTCTGTAGCGCTGCTCTCTTGCTCTTGTTTTCCTCGGAGAGAAAGTCGCTGTAGATTCCCAGTGCGCGGTGCCGGGTTTCGTCTTGGCTGGCCAGGTGCTGGTACTGCTGGGACGAAGAGTCCAAATAGATGCTGAAGTCTATGGCTTTCTCGTGCTCAGAAATTTCATGAAGCTTCGTCATGGAGCCGTTAGTGGGCTGCTTGCAAATGCTGTTGCTGTTCGGACTGCTGCTGGCGTTAGTGCTGTGGAAAGCGAGGTAGTCCCCCTCGTAAAAACCGGCCACTTCCATGGATCTTAACACCCGCCGGATTGCGGCAGGACGGAGGTCAGGGTTTCGCCGCCCCTGATAACTTTTCAAGTGAAGAACTCACAAGAAAATTCGAGGGTCTTCCAAAAAGCAGAAATAACTAAATGACTTTTGTCTAGTTTTGTGGGTGATAGGTTGCCTGCCCAGCGATCGCTGGAGAGCTCGAGTCAGTTCCCATGCTTCGGATTGGGGTGTTTATAGGGGTGTGAGAGTGGGCGGCGATTTTCTATTTGGAATGTGACGCGTTTTTCTGGTTTGACCGCAGACTCTCAAAACGGAGGTCTGTGAACACACGAGTGAATAACAATAGAAAATAAACAGATACAACTGCGCCGAGATTAAGCTTTTTTATAAGGAACACATGTTTAGCCTACATCAATTCTGATCTAGTTTAGAATGAGAATCAGAATGAGATTAATTTGCCAAGTCGTGTGCAAACGCACAAGTCTCGGGTAAGCTTACAGTACACAGGAAAAACGCATAAATAACAATAATTATAATAATATATTTTAAAACACATTAAACTATTGTTTAAAGTGCATTTACTTTTTTATATTTGAATTGATTTTATTTACTTATGTGCTCTACAGAACTACACATAGGCTAAGCAAATATAAATAGAATAAATTACAAATACAATAAATAGAGTAAAGCTATAAAACAGGTTTCTCGGAGGAGCAGTCACTTGCATGGGGACTCTTCATTATTCAGCCATATTTATCCTGACAAAATAATGTAATAATGTCTTCTAGAGCAGTGTTTCTCAATGCCAGTCCTCATAATTCACCTCCTAAAAAGTTTTAGATGTCTCCCTATTCAATATTTGAGTAAGCTGATGAGTTGAATCAGGTGTTTTAATTAATAGGACAAACACTGGTGGGTTGGGGACAAAGGCAAGGACTGGAGCTGAGTAGGCCTATAGTAACCAATTGCTTAAAAAATAGTTACCACATAGTAAAAATAATTTTAATTATTAAAACATTGTTTTCTTATGCAAATTCATTAATTGACATGTTTAGGGTTGAAGATACAGTCCCTGACATAACACAACATAATTAACATTCTCTATAGACCTGTGCAATGGTGAACTATGGCTGTGCAGTCTATCAAAACTGTTACTATATCATAAGACTTGTGGGAATGCTCTGTTAGGACCAGAAGTATCCATTTTATAACTTAAGGTGTTTGGTTTTCTATCTACTTCTACAGGCCTGTCATCCAATATTATTCACGCTATATATATATATATATATTGATATCATATCAAAATTGTCCAATTTGTTAGTCAAAAGTCATTTCCAGGGGCAGCCGCACAATAAACTTGTTTTTGTTTTTTCAGTGATATAGTTAGCCTGCCATCTGGTGGGTAAAGATTGCACTACAAGAGCTGGCTACTTTAATTTCATCATTGTCCTCGAAGCAGCACCATCTTTCTCAATATTTCATTTTCCCATAATCCCTTGTGTCCCATATCATAGTGCAACGTGTTGCAAGAACTGACTCATTAAGCTGCCAGGACTTGAAAATATGATATAGCCTCCATTTTCATGTCCATTTCATTTCTAATATTGTGCATTATTTTATTTTATTTCAATAATTTATTATCATGAAATCATATTTTAGTTGACACATTACATTACCTTTTATAGAGGATCAGTGACGCAAATCCTACATCAAAACATATTTGTTAATTGTGATTCTCTATCAGAGTGTCTGATTTAAAGCATGAATGCCATGCCATTATGTCATAATCTAAACAATCTTATACTAAATACTATTTTAATTGTTAACTAACATTTAGTAATTTGGGTTAAGACCAAAAAAGGGTGACAATGATGACTGAATTTATCATTTGAAAGAACTATTTTAATTTTAAATGGAGCATGAAGTCCAAGTCCCCCTCTCCCTTAAAGGACTGAAGTAGTTCACTTTAAAAAAAAACTTTTGCTGATAATACTCACCCCCGACATGTCATCCAAGATGTCCATGTCTTTCTTTCTTCAGTCAAAAAGAAATTAAGGTTTTTGATGAAAACGTTCCATGATTTTTCTCCATATAATGGACTTCAATGGGAACCAAACGGTTCAAGGTCCAAAAGACGTTTCAGTGCAAAATGTTCAAAGGGCTTTAAACGATTCCAGACGATGAATAAGGGTCTTATCAAGCGAAATGATCGCTCATAAAAAAACAAAAACAAAGATTAAGTTTTATAAGCTCAAATGGTTGCCTTGCTCTGTTCTGTGATGTGCATTCGTGACTCCCCTTTTCAAACTCGTTTATCAAAATGAACGATTTTTTTTCATTTAATTTGGTTCATTCAACGAACGAAATGAACGAGTTGACTCTGGAAAAGATTTGTTCATTTTGATGAACGAGTTCGAACAGGAGAATCACGAACGTGCATCACAAAACAGAGCAAGGCGACCATTAAAACTTTGAGCAATCGTTTCGCTTGATAAGACCCTTATTCATCATCTGGAATTGTTTAAAGCCCCCTGAACAGTTTGCAGTGAAACTGTCTTTTGGACCTTGGACCTGTCGTTTGGTACCCATTGAAATCTATTATGTGGAGAAAAATCCTGGAATGTTTTTATCAAAAACCTTAATTTCTTTTCAACTGATAATAATCAGTTGAAACTGACTAATAATACTATCATTATAGATAGTAAAAAAGCAACTTTATTTAACATAATGAAAATGATTATTTTGACAGTGTACTAAAATACCAGCATCCACAACAACCGTACATTCAAGTGAGTAAAATTAATCACTTTCAGTTTAGCCTCTTTTTTGATTGGTTGCATTCGGGTGGGGTCAGGACATTCTTGTTTTCTAATTGGTCATCATGTTTGTTACGAAAACATAGTCGAATTGCTGATTGGCTGAATGCTTCAGCGCGACGAACACAATTGGTGGAGGGAGGAAACACGGAACAGGGCGGACAGAGGCGTGGGGTTGAAGATGCGGAATTAAGGCATCCGCTGCGCCCGAACCGGACTGAATATGGCGAGCACCGAGAGCAAAAGTGGGTCTTCGGAAAACTTTCACACACCCGAGCCAAGTAGAGTGGCTCAGCCGGGCGCGAGATGGGGTCCACAGCATGCAGGTGCTCGAGAGCTCGCGGAATTATACTCGCCAGGTGAGAATTTAAACCGGTTTTTACATTTCCCGTCGGCGCCGGTAGCCGCCTGCCGCTGACCTCACCGGGGATTGAACGGACTGCCAGCCACGAGATTCTGTTAAGCGGCGCCGGACAGCACGGCCACGAAGCTGTAGCATTCGCCTCGTAGTCTGGGCATTCAGCGGAGCGCGTGCATATTCAGTCTGGGGTCTCTGAGGGGACAAACACTACGCAGCATAGTGTGGCATAATATATATAGATTAATAAATTATGTTTATGTGGCAGGGAGTTTGAATGAGCTCAACGCCCTATCGGTGATGTCAGTCATCAGAGGAGTTGAACGCAATTGTCTGTGATAAATTTGACCAAAATAGGTTATTAATCATGTCTTGTGAGTTTACCTATCTCTTATGGTCCCAAGGGGTGTAATTCTTTGTCAGAAATAGTTGGTACTTGTAGCTGTCAGATAGGCTAACAGGAGATCTCTTTGATTTCACGCTTACCACATAAATTACTCAGCACGTAAGTTACTCCGTTGTTTTGCTAGTTAAAAAGTTGTAGAAATAAAACATGAACGGCACTTTGAGAAATAACATTAACATGACTTACAAAATAGAAGAAGCTGATGTTTTTTTTTCTACACGTAGCGGGTCGCCCCTTCATGGGTGCCGCTAATATTGACATCACGTGACTAGTTGCCATGCAACTGGCCACTTTACTACCTAAAACAATACTGTTTATTTCATTTAGCAGATGTAGACAGTGTTTGCTGTGATTTAAAAAGCATAAACGTAAAAGCTAATGTGAATAAAACAAGTAGCTAAAACTACGGTAATGACAAACACAACACAACAACAGAGCCACTAGAAAGCGGTATAAAGGCTTTTAGATCAATTAATTTTTCACAGCTCATCCTGTCTGGAGTTTTTCGTCTATTGACATTTCTTAGAAAGATGTTTTTGCAGTGTTTCGTCAGCAGAACAATCAAAAAACATGAAATAATAGTACACTGAAGAGATGTAGCCTATGTCTATCCCTCACAGCCTCGCTTTCATTCCTGTTAAAAGTAAAAGATGGCCCTTTGCTGTGAATAAGGTCTATAGTCAATAGTATAGTTATGCAGCTCACACAGAAGTCACTTTCATACCAAGTTGCTTTCTGTAGGTAAATTCCAAATTTGCATGATCATCTTCAATCCTCACAAAATCCCTGTCACACGGATTCCTGTTTAATTGGCTGCATTTCTTCCAAAATATTTGCAGAACAATGTTAAATGTGTCTGCACTGTAATAAACATCTTAGATGTGAAGCAACAGCATTTAGTAAAGAAGCCTTATAATGCATCAACCCAAAAAGTTTCAGTACTAAGTACCAAAACCACTGGTACTATTGAATGTTGAATAAGAAGCATCTCAATAACAAAAACTTACTGAGTGCACCTTTATTTCAGTAAAGTTTCGGGTTGATGTTTTGTTTTTATCTCACTAGGAATGGCTGTTTACACTATTAAAGATGAATAACAACAAAGTAATTTATAGCATTAGGACAACAGGGCCACACAAAACCAGCAGCCCACAATGGTTGATTAGTTTGTGTGCAGTAAATCTTAATACCGTGGAAGGAGGATCTCCATCAATACCAACAGGACACTGTGTGGAGGATAAATGCTGCATATAAACATACACACACACACACACACACACACACACACACACACAAAAACAGAACAGGAGCCGAAACGAAAGAGCACACTAAGTACTAAGCAGACCAGTGTGAGGGTGTGGTAGGTGTGACAGGTATGAGTTTGTGTGGGTGGGGTGGTGCAGTTCAATGTCAAATCGAGCTGGACCGATGTGGGTTTCTGGGTAGCATAAGATTCATGCTTCTCAAACTTCACATCAGTGTCCTCTGATAACATTGTCCTGTTTACAGTCACTTTGGTGACTGTTCAGGCTCTCAATATTTCAGAATCAGATTAACTCTGAATTAATCAGTCAACCCTGGAACAAACAGCAGTATTTCTAGATTCTGTCAATGCGAGAATCATGTTCTTTTCTACAAAGTGGTTCTGCACTGAATTCAGGGCAAAGGTGAATTTGCCCTCGGCACACAATTGTTGTTGCTGTGCAAAGGAACAATGTGACTTTGTTTTTGAGCATTGCTTTGATAAATGCTCACAGCCATAACCATCTGTCTCAAACTGTTATAAACAGCTATTCAAATATGCTTTCTTAACAGTTTCTATGATAATGATGCTGTATTTTTGGAATACAGCAAACAAGTTGGTACTTCAGTAAAGTTACTCTGAAGTTAGCATACTCTCTAGGGCACTTTGGAAATATAACCTCTCTCTCTCTCTCTATATATATATATATATGTATATATAATGTGTGTATTTGTGTGTATAAAATGTATGTATGTGTGTATATATATATATATATATATATATATATATATATGTATGTATACAAGTATGTATATGTGTGCCTTATATATATATACCTAAATTGCAATGTATTAGTAAATAGTTATATTTATATATATATATATATATATATATAAATATATGTGTGTACAAGTATGTATATGTATAAGTATGTATATGTGTGCCTTTTATATATAAAGTTTTTATATTATATATATATTTGGCAACAAAGTACTAGGCTAATTTGTTTGTTGTTTTCCTCCCATATTTGTTACAAAAAGTCCATGTCATTGTGTTAAAATATTACATATGAAATGAACCAGTGCGTCACATATTTCTCGTATTATGTTTTTTGCTTAATGCCTAAAACTTCAATGTGTCGTCACCACATTCTGTTGAATTAATAGCTTTTGAAAATGTCAAGTGTTCTAGTTTACATGTTTTCAGTATTAGCTGATTTATATGTCTTTGATTTGAATTGTACTCAGCATATCAGCGTATCGTTCTTCTCATCCGTTTTTAAATAATGCATTATGCTGCAGGAACTAAAGTTTTATTTATTCACCAAAGCCAATTTATACTCGTACGATGTTTTGCTGTTATTTTTGGATCCTGCTGACTAAAGACTGCTATTTAAAACGTCTCAACTCTGTCTATTTCTTACAGGAAAAAGATTCCAGGAATGGCTCAGTGTGCTTCTTTGCTTTACCCTCATGGCCTTCAACTTCTGTTACCTGGTAACATACTTCCACCTGGGACACATCTGGTACATCCTTCTGGGCATCGGTTGGTAAAACAAACAAACCCACACACACAGTCATCAATGTTTAGTAAAGTAGTGGTAGAAACAACAAAGATGTTGCAAAGTACAACTCTGAAATGTGTCTTAAATAACTAGCAAATACCAAACAACTTTTTATGGGAACTGAAAGCCATTTTGGTTAATAATAGGATTTAGAGATTGATTTTATACTGATATTCTGCTGTATGTGTGTGTGTGTGTGTGAAGTGGCAGGGATCCTCACAGCAGACTTTGCCTCTGGTCTGGTCCACTGGGGTGCTGACACATGGGGTTCAGTGGATCTGCCCATCGTTGGGAAGGTACAGAAGCAAAACACCCTTTTTTCCTGTTATTAAGTGTTATTTAAGCTATAAAATGTAACAAAATACTTTGACACATAGATATTAAACCACTTGATCACAAGTAGATTACTTGGACATTTAATATTTGTGTTTTTACTTTAAACATCTTTCAAGGCCAATTCACACTGCACTGACAGACACCGACCAATGGCGACAGTCACCAGATTACAGTATGTCACTTCTCAGACATTCACCCTATAAATACAGATTCCACATGTTAATCCTGCAAAAACAAGCGCCGACTGCTTAACCCACTGATTCGACAATACCCGATGAATGTATTTGTTGGTGGGCTTTGATCAGTACAGTGAGAATTGGCTTTTAAACACTTTAAAGATCTTTTAAAGGTGCTAAATGTAACTTTTCTTCTAAAATGAATCCTTTTTTTTATTGCCTGTTTGTGAAGGGGTTGTAATCACACATTACAATGATCCACTTGTCTGGTTTTGCTATTACCTCTGAAGACCAGTATTCCTATTTCTATGTGAAGTCTCCGGGTCGGATTCTCCGCGAAATTCATCGGATGTGACGTGCATGCGCACTCCCGAGTCTCTCTTTTTATATACAATCTACTCTATGCGACGGCACTGCAGCTGAGGACATGGAGTCTGATAACACCAAAAAACAACTTGCCTCCAGCACAACACAGACTCAAACACAAACTCAACATAAAAAACAAAACAAAACGTATCTGCTGAAGCTTGTCAGGCCAAACATGAATCGTATCAACTTTGGACGAAAACACGGATCAACATTGGCAGAGCGTTTAAATTATGGAGAGACCTCCGCTATTTTTATTGTGATAAATTACAAGTTTTCAGATATACTGAAATAATGGTAAACTGTAATGAAATAGCAAGGTAAACTACAACATATGAGACATGAAATGGATACAAAAGACTGTCCCGGTAACTTTTATTTTATGTACTAGATCTACTGTCTAACGTCACTCATCCCACTACTATCATATTGTTTATAATACACATTTCCAGACACGTTCAGTACAGTAATGTTACTTCCTACGATCTTACTGTTACACTGAAATTGTTCAGTCTAGTTCACAAACCGTTTTCGTTACCATATTATACATCCACCTACGTTGACGGTGCTGATCGTGAAAGATACACGAATAGTTCGTGAAATGCCTTATGCTAAATAACACCACAAATGTAACGTTGTTATGGTAAGAGCATGGAGCATTAGTTCAACGTCAAGCTGATAGAAGTAGCCTATTATTGTAACGTTGCAGTGGGAGTTTACATGAGTTTCCAGCATGTTGTGTGATGCTTTCTCCGGTGTGTTGAAAGTCTCAGTGTGGCTGTGTACCATGAGTGCTCACTCTTGTTTTCGAGCACGCGCAAGAGCACGAGCGCTCTTGTAAAAGTTGGTTGCAATCTGAAACATCACCAATAGAGGACGCTAAAAAATACATATAGCACCTTTAAAGAAAATATGAATCTACTACTAAACTACTAAATTGTGCTAGCATAATTACTTATCCTAAAAAAAATGTTCCTGTTTGTTGACACCCAGGCCTTCATTCGTCCATTTCGAGAGCACCACATTGATCCAACAGCTATAACACGCCATGATTTCATTGAGACAAATGGGGATAACTGTATGTTGACCATCATCCCTCTCGCTAACATGGCCGCAAACTTCTTGTTGCTCTCTCCAGGTAAGACATCAGACATATTATCTGTCCAATACAGAGACAAATGATGAACCACATTCATTTATGACTCAAAGTCTCATATATTGTGTTGTTCTCTCTTCAGCGGAGATCTATCGAAACTACGCATGGTACTGTTACGTCTTTGCTTTATCTATTTTTGTTACACTGACCAATCAAATTCACAAATGGTCGCACACATATTTTGGGCTCCCACGCTGGGTGACGTTTCTTCAGGACTGTTACATCATTTTACCACGGAAACACCACAGAGTTCACCACGTTTCACCTCATGAAACCTACTTCTGCATTACAACAGGTATACTTGCACACAATACATGGTTGTATAGAAAGTTCAAAAGAACGAGTTGCAAACATATAATAACAAAGGCATATGGAGCAACTAATATAGAGAAGAAAAAAAACTACAGATACTACTACAGACCATCATGAGTGTGATACTACCCAAAAACCTAAAGATATTTATCAATAAATAACTTTCGATTTTTTTTTTTTTTTTTTTTTTTTTTTGTAAACTAGATTTTTGAAGATTTTAAATTTTATCATTGACACTAAATTAAATATACATTTACATCAGTTATAAAGTTACATGTCATTGACCTTAATGCGTTTGAATGTGCAGGGTGGTTGAACTATCCCCTAGAGAAACTGGGATTCTGGAGAAACCTGGAAGATCTGATCCAGAGCCTGACCGGAGAGAAACCCAGATCAGATGACCTCAAATGGGCCCAGAAAACCAAGTAATCTTCCTCTGCCACCGACCCACCTCCCCTACCTCAGACCTGCTTGTAGGAGAACAGTCGTTTTTCTCCGTCTACTTGTCCTCCCTCAGACAGAACAAGAGGAATGGCAAGATATCAAAGCCCAAATTAGAAAGCCATCAAATCTTAGCAAAAGTTGAGAGAATGGGGTTGACAAAGCAATTGAAAGCAATATCCCACCCTGCTCACTCTAAAGACACAAACATCCAAATCCTCATTGAAAACTTGAGACTTCTGTGAAATGTTTAAAACTGTTCAAAGTGCAAAAAAACAAAACGAATTTAAAATGTCAATACTTGAACAAAGTGGGCTCTTTTCTGGACACCTTATCTTTCAGCTGCTCAAAGCTTTGCTGACTAGCTTGTTTCTGAGGGACTGGCCTCTGCACTTTTGGGTTTGGCCTTTGGGACTGATTTCTCTTGCTCTCACCCTTCACTTGTTTGGGGTTTAAGTGCAGTAAACTCAAGGCATTTTGGCTCTTTAACCGCAGAGGGCTGAAAACCGGTGTCTTCATCTGTTGCTTGTGTCTGAACGGACGGAGCAGCATCATATGCAGTCTTACTTCAGTACGCCTTAAAAGACAAATCGCATGAAACTTGCTTTGCTCTGCTTCATCCTGTTCCTAACATTCTTTTTTTTTTCATTATTAACACTTTCTTTTGAAGCACATTTGCAAATTCAGAGGTGCTGAAAGCATTTAGCTCTTGATCAAGAGGTGTATATTAGAAGTATTTCCACGCAGGTCAATATTTAGGTCAATAATGTCTCAGTGTGAATAAACAGCGGTGTCCTCACAGATATCAAAACCCACGAGACACTCAGAATAGGCCTTATGTGTATCCATTTTTTTTTATCTTGTATTAACTTTATTGTAGGCTAGGTTGACCAGCTGACTAACAAACTTAAACTTGCACTCCATTGCTTGGGTTTTAGGTCCACATACATGTTCAACTTAACACTAGCATGTTAATTTTAATAATATGAAATGTTAAAGGTGGCTACAGCATGATGCAAGGACAGATTTAACATCTAGCTGTATAGTGACATAACTATTACTAACTGCTTATTTAATGAGCATTACAGGATATACATTCTCTATTATAAAGCTGCAATGACAATGAACTCAAAATATTTATTTAAGTTAATCTTTTACTAATGAAAAAAAAAACTTGCTTTGCTTTGGAAAATAAGTGTTGTTATCTAAGCCATGTAGTTTAGACGGTGTTTATCATGTCGTCTTATAAGAGTGAGGAAATTTAATATTTTAGATCACATCTAACATAATTGTGATAATTTTTGTTGTGCCATTTGGGGGTATTAGTTTAATCATTTTTCTTTGCACAAAAAAACCTATTTGCCCTTAAAAACTGAAAAGGTCAACCTAAACGAGTTGTAGCTTAGACGTTTTATGCTTATGTGCATTTTCATGCCAAAACCTTGTTACTGTCAGCCGGAATGTGGCAATTGTGTTTCAATAGGTCAGTTTTGTGATGGTATATGTTTAAAATAGGTCATTATAGAAGGTCAGAGAACATGTTTTAGAGAGCAAATTCATTTGTCCAATATGTAAAACTGTTACAAAGGAGTCAGTCAGAACTGTAAAATAACAAAACATATATGAGGTGTTTTGAGCTGATTCATAATGTGTCATGTGTTGTTACATCTTTTTTTTTTTCTTTCCTTTTTATGAATTCAGGAAGGTTTGTTGGATGGAATATTGTAGTATTTTTGACAGTCAACCAATATCTTATATATTTCTATGCTGATATGAGATGCCAAATTTATTTTTGCTCCAGCTAATAGATCTGTTGTGGTGTGTTTGGTCGGTGTTTATTTGAAGAAAACACTCCAGTGGCGATGTTCACTGTACAGGGAACTGAAGCTTAAACCAATTACTTTGATTTTGTAAAATGTTACATCTGTCATTAGATTTCTTTTCATTTTGTATTTTTGGTTTCCAATGAGTCTTTATTATGACATTATTTTCTCCTAAATTTTACAGTAGTATTAATGATCATATCATATAACATATCTCAACATTTTCTTTTATTTGTAATGTACTGATCATGAAGGATTTTACCAGCTGTAATATTTCTTGATTTGAAATGGTGGAAGATGTGAGTTGGAGCAGTTTAGTGACCGTGATGTGTTGATGCAGTGAAGACTTCTGTGCTTTTGTCTGGTCAAGCTTCTGCAGGTATAATTATGGTTCTATAAACACACAGAAATGTTACTAGTTTGTTGTGAAATGTGTAAAAGAGATTGTGGTAATATGGCGACTGTATTATCGAAAATGCAAGATTAGAGTGTTAAGACTTTCTCGTTGAGTCTCTTTTCTTTCCATGCTTAGTGGAAAGCTACCACTTTCCATGGAATGTGGCTGTGAGAAGACTGAATTAATCACACTGTACTTGCTCAAAAATAACAAAGCAAGGCCGATCCCTTATTCACTGAGGTTATTTGATTGATGACCTTTTGGCATTCACACTTGTTACTGAATGTTTGTTCTTACTGATTTATTGGGAGAAGCCTTTTAAAAATGCTATCTCGGCTGATTTTGCAATTCACCTCATAGTCTCACAATCAGCAAGTTTTTGTAGGACGGCTACTTGTTGAAAACTGCAAATAACGCCTTAATGCCTTTTTTTGTTGTTTCTTGTTTTGAAAACTTATGTCATTAAGTTCATATTTATAATAAAATTAATAAAGAACTGGAAAGACCTGTGGCCTGATTTGTGCTTTTTATCCTGCTTATGTTCACATCATACATCATACACAGGGCTGTCAGCAGATGGACAACAGGTTAAGGGGTTGAACAAAGATTATACCTATACAAAAAGTTGACTTATTAGAATGATGCTATTTATTTGTAAAACTGAACATGTGACATTCCTTTTTGTTCTTTCTTTTACCTTTCACCTTCATTTCAAAGTTCAATCTCTCTCTCTCTCTCTCTCTCTCTCTCTCTCTCTCTCTCTCTCTCTCTCTCTCTCTCACACACACACACACACACACACAGGTTGCAATGCTTCTGACTTCACATTGTGACTGAACCAAAAGAAAAGTAAATAGGTGTTTAACACCAGAACAGATTGCAACACTTCACAGTGATACATGACACACTGTTTTCAGATTACTTATGATTTATATATAAACAATACATGTATATTTAGATATTGGATTGCGGAAGCAGGGCTTTTGTCCAGGCCTAATAGGCCCGGGCTATTTTTGAGGTCTGGTATAAATATGATGTTACAAAAATACATATACATGGAAGATTGGTCATTAAAAGATGGCGATCTCAATTCAAACTCACACGTGGTCTTATGCTTAAATGACAATGATTCGGCAATGTCTATGAAGCCTTTGAAATTAAAATCACAATTACAAATCATTCTATTTCATAACGTTAAACTGTAAAGATTTTAACAGTATTAAAGGAGAACTCTGGCGCAAAACGAACCTTTGGTCTAATAAAACATTGGTACCTAGTCAATCGTTCTCTGAGATTTGTTTACATGATAATCGGATGTAAAGATTTTTATCTCTAAAAACTGTTTAGCGTATAATGCTAGTAGTGGGGGCATTTACTAAGTAAAAAGAAATTGCTAGTTTCTACCACTAACAAGGCTCAAAATAGCCCCACACTAACACACATAGTGAGGGTCCATACATGCAAAACGAAGCATTGAGGACTTTGTAAGTGTACAGAACGTTTAATAAGAAGATACTTTATAAAGACAGTTCACTTCGTGTATACAGACAGGAGCCATCTTAGAAAATAGTCTTGATAAGTCGATCCCCGAACGCCGTTCATTCATACAGTTCAGAAGTTCGCTGAACTTCGTACAATTCAGCTCACTCTATTTTCCAAGATGGCTCCTGTCTGTATACACGAAGTGAACTTTCTTTATAAAGTATCTTCTTATTAAACGGTCTGTACACTTACAAAGTTCTCAATGCTTCGTTTCGCATGTATGGACCATTTGTGGCAATGGTTGTGCGTTAAAATCCTAGCAAATCAGCAGTTTCTGAAATACTCAGACCAGCCCATTTGGCACCAACAACCATGCCACGTTCAAAGCCATTTAAATCACCTTTCTTCCCCATTCTGACGCTCCATTTGAACTTAGTCTTGACTCTTGACCATGTCTACATCCATTCATGCATGAGTTGCTGCAGTGTGAACGGCTGGTTAGATATTTGCGTTATGATCTGTAAACTTTTGGCTGCTATCTTACCCCATCTGGCTTCAAGTCATTGACTTTTGTTTGTGTCTGATTTTTGGTAAAGTCACTTATGTACTCATGTGTCCCATCTATACATAAATAAAGGCCCGGTGCCCTTTTTTAATGCGTTAATAGCTATAATAAATCTTTCTTTTTCGGTAAAAGTTCAAAACCTAAAAGAAGCTGTTAATTAGTAATGAGGGTAGTTAAGTATATGTAGGTCACACATCACATCATTGAAAACTGCACTTATACTGTATGCTGTGCCAGAATGAGCTTTGGGTTGTGTTTTGTGATTTATTTTATATCTCTTTTGAGAGTATAAAAATAAAAAGCACCTAAGGCAAGTTTAATGTTTTGTAAAGACTTTAAACAGTTCAAAGTTCCACACTGAGAACTTCAGATTGTGGGACAAGGACTGTGGCTTAAAGGTGCAATGTGTAACAAAGTTGAGTATCTATTAACAGAAATGCAATATGACATCCATAACTATGTTTTCAGTGGTGTATAAAGAACTTACTTAATTAGCCGTAATGTTTTTATTACCTTAGAATGAGACATTAATAGCTCCATAACCGAGGGAATCCCCTTCTATGAAGGTCGCCATGTTGTGACGTCATATTCCTACCGTAGCCGAACGCGAACAAACAGCGCTACAGAACGCGTTTCATCACTACCTTGAAAGAGAAGTAGCGGAAAGCTGGAAGCTAGCCTTACACTCCGTGAGTAGTGACTTTTCCCTTGGAGTGGTGTAAAATATGTAGTTGGGATTGTTTCATGTAACTTAGTTCTCCCTCGCTGTGTTATGGGTTTGTTATGTTGGGGATAGATGTGCTGTTACGTTCGTGAGACAGCTGATGATTAGTATTCATGTCATTGACCGTAAAACAGCACGTTACAGGAATCACGAACCCGTCGATAGAGACTTTTACTAAAGTCTTTTATCACTAAAGTCGATCGCGAAGAATTTTAAAAATCAGAGAAAAAAAGCCTATTGTGTGTAGTAAAAAGTATCTATGGGATGCGGAGATGACATGATTGTAACAGCGCGCGCACTTCCGACCTTTGGACTCATGCAGACGCGTCCCAGCTCAGCCACAGTAACAGCTCATATTAGCCAGCTAAACTATTACTACCCTGTTAGAAAAAATATATAGCTGCTCCCTCGCTGTATTATGGGTTTGCTGCTACAGTATGTGGGGAGAAATGTGCTGCTGGTTACGTTTGTGAGACAATCAGCTGATTATTATTTTATTAAATTATATATTAAAACCCTTGATCCTCACCTGACTATGGCTTTGTAAACAGACAGTATTCATGATGTGGTTTATAATGGACTGTGGTACAGAAACAGTGACAATGTTACACACTCTTGGCTTACTCTGGCTATTCTCTGCTGTCTCAGCCGACGAGATGTTTGTCCCGTTTTAGCAACCGTAGCTTCTTCGAAAGGGAGGGGTGAGCAGTGGGCTGAGCCCTTAGTGCAAACCTGGTGCAAGCTCGCAACCGAACCACTAGATGTCGCTAAAATATGATGTGAGTTGAAGTCTCTCTGCTCTATATTTGGTATTCTTGATGAAAGATATGATGGTTGAATAGGGTCAAAGTACATGCCGCAAAAGAGGCATGTTCAGGGTGTTCTGTTCACAATTTAATAATCGTGATACAACTCAGAGGCACAACAGGCCAAATTTCACTGCTCACTGAACTCTGTCCTCCTGTAGAAGCACACGTTGATGCCAATTCTATACAAGAGTTCTATACTAATTCTAATACAAGAGTTAAGCAGAAAAACTGGACCAGCTAAAAGGCCATTTTGTTGCGGGGCCATGTGACAGGAGAGTTATGTACTTCATTAGAGCGAGATGACCTTCATGAGACCCACCCACACTCATACGCTGACGTTAAAAACCACACTGTGGACATCTTTAGAGTTGAGAGGTTAACCAGTAACGAGATACTGTACTGCTGAATGAATGTCGCTTCTATGACTTACCGGATCGTAGAGCAAACTAATGTCTGTGTCAGAAGGAAGAGCATGTTCTGTCTCAGTGGCTCAGCAGTAATGTGAGTACTGAATTTGTTTAATGCTCCTCCAGTGAGATAACACATAAATCAGTCTTTTGTCCTGAGTTACAGGTATCGGATGTTTGCTTACATGCTGACTGAATATTTTTAATGTGTTGCTTTTGTTATCATGTTGGATGTTACATTTATGCAAATCTGATTGTCTTTAACCATTGACCGACAAGTTAATTTGAACTTTTAACATTGTCTTTGGTTGTATAAAAAAAAAACACCTAAAAAGAACACTGGATCCAGTTAACAGAATTAACAATAATTAACGATTCATATTTGAATTTAGAATGATAACAGATTTTCTACTTTTTAAAATGAACAAGCCACATTAATACAGCAATTCACATTTTATCATTGATTGTTGTAGTGCCGGTTTGATAATTTTATTGCCATGCTGCAGTTGTACTTTGTATTGTATTGCACTGTTTTGTAAGCTTAATGTTTGATGTAATTATATATATATATATATATATAGTACTCAAAATTTAAAGTGGATCAAAGGAGTTCATCAAAGTTGTAGGGTATTGTTCAAAATTCATTTATATGTATGTATATATATATATATATTTAATTACATCAAACTTTAAGCTTACAAAACAAAGTACAAGTTCAGCATAGCAATAAAATTATTAAATCGTCACTGCAACAATCAACCATAAAATGTGAATGGTTGTATATATTGTGTGTTGTTTAAAAGTTTGGAATTAGTTGTTTTTTATAAAAGGTTTGGGATTTTTTTTCAAAGGGAATTAAAGTAATATATATTTATTTTTTCATTAAGGATGCTTTGAAAAGTCAGATTTTATCAGATCAAAAGTGACAGTAAAGCCTTTTAAATTGTTACTATTTTTAATTTCATTTAAATGCTGTTCTTTGGAACTTTGTTTATCAAATAATTCTAATACAAATTTGCAGAAAGATATGCAGCACAACTGTTTTCAACATTTGTTGGAAGTAAGAAATGTTTCATAAGCAGCAAATCAGCATATAATTATTTCTGAAGGATCATGTGACACTGAAGACTGGAGTAATGATGCTGAAAATTCTGCTTTGTCATTACATGAATACATTACATTTTTAAATACTGTATTACTGTGGGGTTTTTTTTTCACTTAATTTTTATATAAATGCAGCCTTGGTGAGCATAAAGACTAAAAAACATTACAAATACCTTACTGACTCCAACATTTTGAATAGTTGAATATATGGTCATAATTCCCAGGGTCATGCAATGGTTCCTCTGTCAGAGATGTCATGATCTAGAAGTGGAGGATTTCTTTGTATATCTTTTTTTTCTCTCTCTCTTTAAAGGAAATCTGATGTTTTGGCAAAGGCAAGAAGAGAAGACATCAAACCACAGCCCAACTGAAGTGGCGTCACACAATATAAAATACTGAAGAGTCACACAGTTGA